GAGTCCTCTCCTGCTGATGTTCAGGTGTATCTCAGTATGTAGTATCTCCACTTTAAAGAGTCCTCTCCTGCTGATGTTCAGGTGTATATCAGTATGTAGTGTCTCTACTTTAAAGAGTCCTCTCCTGCTGATGTTCAGGTGTATATCAGTATGTAGTGTCTCTACTTTAAAGAGTCCTCTCCTGCTGATGTTCAGGTGTATATCAGTATGTAGTGTCTCTACTTTAAAGAGTCCTCTCCTGCTGATGTTCAGGTGTATATCAGTATGTAGTGTCTCTACTGGGACATGTCTCCATGCTTTAATGTTCAAAGAGCTCTTTATTTTTCTCATACTGCCTGTGCTGCAGCACCTCTTTTCACCCTCTGTCTGAAACCAGAGCCCAGTCTGCTCTGATTGGTTAGCTGGCCGGCTCTGTTTGTGATTGGTCAACTGCTAAGAGATGTCCCGCCCCTTAGCCTATCACGGACAATGTGTTGGAGCGCTAGCCAAAAGAAGCACAAGTGTTACATAATGATGTCACTATGTTCGGGAAGTAAACAAAGGAGTCCAATGGAGGCGTTTCAGGCAGGGGGGGNNNGGGGGGGGGGGAGTGTGTGGGAGAGAAACTCACTCTGGAGGGAACACAGGGATTTTACTCTTTGCAGACCATATGACCTTACAGAAGCAATAAAAGATATTACATTATTACCTCAGGATCTGTTTTTAAATAATTGACAGCACAGGTAATGCATCCATTGTCTCGAGGTAAACTGACACATAAAGCAAGCTCACATAATTCATAATGTTGCTACGTATTAAATAGTTTTCCTACAATGTTTGCATATTATTGGATTTTATTAAAATGTCTCTATTTAGTTTGTTAGCTTTACTTGTATTTGCCTTTTTACCTGCACTGTCCCCTTTGCTGTAATTGTGATTTAAACACAAAGTGGAACCCTTTATTTTCAGGTACAGACACAAAAATGTCGATGTAAATACGATGAAATCCTGATCTTATGTCACACACTTAGTTGGGGTCCTCATCACAAAGAGCCCATTGTGGTCAGGATCCTCTGTGGAGAATGCATGGCTGCTCATCTGGACGTAATGTGAGGGAATTCACTGATGATGTGCAGACACATCGGGGCTACTTTGGTTCACAGATAATACGTTATGAAAAACTAACACGTGTCCTTCTAAAACCAGGCAGTAGGGCTGCTCAATTAATCGTATTTTAATTGCAATTACGATTATGGCTGGCAACGATTACGAAAACAACGTAATCGAAATAAAACGCTTATTTTTTTATAATTTTTTTTTTTTTTTAAATTACGTTTTTAATATTTTTTAGCTGAATTATATTTAAAGTTCAGGGTAATCAACTGTTAAAAACATACTGTTAAAACATGTTTTCTCCAATACATTTGGATCATTTTAAGAATCGTGATATCAATTATTGACCCAAATAATCAAGATATTTTTTGCCATAATCGAGCAGCCCTACCAGGCAGGATTTAAAGATTGGTGTTTGATTTCTACAATAAAGTTCAAGGAAAAATCTGAGCATCCTGATTATAACTGGTGATGTGAACTGGATCATGAATAATTGATTGTGGGTTCATAGAAGTTTAATTGGAGATGTACTATGATCTCACCGTTTCATCAGAAGGTTTTAATTATAATTTAATCAGTGGATTGTTTTCTCTATTATTGGTTTTGTTCATAAAATGACAGATATTTTTTTTAAAAAGCCATCACAACTTCCCAGAGCCCAATGTGATGTCTTTAAATTGCTTGTTTTGTTTCAAAACCTAAAAGTAAGGTTGAACGATATAGAAAATAATATATATATATTTTTTTGACTGATTTTGCAATGAGACACGATTAGTGGTGTTGGGAATGGAGAGTTTTCTTGCATTATTCTCATTACATTGTTCAAAGTGTCCTTTTTTTTTTTCAAGTATCTGTACCAAACCAAGATGTTTTCTTTGGTGTGTAAAATTCAATCTGTAGTTTGGGACACCTTTAACAAATAGGGCACATCTTCGGATATTATCATGGTCTTTACTGCGATTTCCATAATATTACAATTAATTATTGAGCCCAATCCAAAATCATTTGATTATTGTAATACGAGACGGAACATCAAGAAAAACATTTTCCGAGAAAGCTAAAACCAGTGACTGCTGAGAACTTAATAGACCAAAACATTTATCAATGAATCCAGAGAACGGACAGTTTGGAGCCCAAACTAACATTGCATATTTATCATTATTTGTTATCATATATAAAATTACATTACATATTATTTAGCAACTTACAATAAGTCAAATCAAACAGTTTTTTCTGCAGGATGGATGTCCCATAATATTCCCGTAAACGTCACTACTTGTAATAATAGGAAGTGGTCGCTGCTAGCTGCAGGTCCTTCCGTTAAACAAACACGTCTAACTTCGTGCTGCTCTGTTGATGCCCTGTAATCCCTCATGTCCTTGTGTTGTTTCTATCGTTGCTAACGGGATCTTCTTCCCATCCTGTCATGTTTTGGCAGGGTCTCCCTTGCTCGAGGTTTTTATCTCAATGTGACCTCTCGTTTAAATAAAAGCTATATAAACTATGTCGGGATCTGAAGTGAACATTTGTGACGATCATCCCTACTAAGCTTTGACCTTCATCCTTCTTTATATTTAGCGTGTGAGGTGTTTATTTCCAGCAGCAGCAGCAGCAGCACCTGGCTCTGTGCTCAGACATGAATGTGTTGGATGCAGGCAGGGTGCAGCTGATGGATGGATGCAGTTTGTGCTGACTCTGCTGGTGACAGCTGGTCTGCAGCTGCTTTACAGCTCTGCTCAAAGTGAAGCATTACACAGGGACAACAATGCCCCTGTAGGCCTGTTAGTGCACTACTTGTATATATGTGGACTGTTGTCATAATTCATCTGTTTGAGTCTACCAGACTAGACTTACACCTGTGTCCTGTCCACATTTAAGTGTGAAAGCTTTATTTATGTATTGTTGTGCCTTCTTTTTTCATTATTTATATTATACCTCTTAATGTGTGTATATGTGTATATATATCTGTGTGTGTATATATCTATTTTTAAGTGGGTATTCAGGTGTGTATGTTTAAATATTCTTATTCTTGGGGATGGTGAGAAACGGCATTTATATCTCCCTGTTTGTATCACACACACACACACACACACACACACACACACACACACACACACACACACACACACACACACACACACACACACACACACACACACACACACACACACACACACACACACACACACACACACACAGAGAGAGAGAGAAATTGATGATAACGTTGACTTTGACTGTGTAATAAAAGGGTTTCAGTCCATTTACCTGCGTTTATACTCGTCTCTCTCCCTCTTCACCTTGGCCAGCACATTGTACAGGGCTCTGATCTCGGGGGTGATGGTGTCGATCTGGACCCCGACTCCATCCGGCTGCTCCCAGGACACCCCGGGGCTAGTCAGGCCTGCAGAGGGGCCCATCTTACGGGTGTGGTTGTAGGACCAGATGGTGCCAGGCAGGAAGCGGGGAGGAGGGTTGGTGGTGCTCCCCGGGCCGGAGCCGGTGCTGGAGAAACTTTTAGAGCCGGATCCAGGGGAGTCCACACAGGGCGAGGCCTGGCTGATGGTGATGGCCGGGTTACAGGAAGTGTAATTACTCTGGGTGGAGGTGAAGCTCTCAGATGGCAGGGTGGTGTTGTGTGTAGGTGTGAACAGCGTTGTAGGCCTCCTGGCTGAGTTGTTGGTGTTGTGGAAGGGGAGAGAGCCGGGCCTCAGAGGGATGGAGCCCACAAACCCAGTCTGCACCCCCGCCTCCTGGGAAGACCCCCTGCTGTCACAGCACCCCCCCTGACAGCCCTTGTTGGCATCATGTGCTTGTTGCAGCTGCTTCTCTAAAATCTTATTCCTGCGCTCCAACTCGTGCACTTTGGCCAGGAAGCACCTGAACCTCAGGTTGAGGGTCTTCAGGACGCTGATGTTGGAGCCCAGGTCGTTTCTGAGCGCCATGGCGGCGGGGGGGTGCGGTGCCGCGCGGTGATGGTACAGGCTGTTGTGATGGAGGTAAGAGGAGGGTGCGGTGAAGTCAGGCCCCAGATGATCAGGCCCCGGATGATCCCCCAGCAGAAAGGACGCCGCGTCCGGTCCACCGAGCAGGGTGTCGGGCAGGAGGCCTGAGGGGGAGTCCGGGTGAGAGGGGGCTGCACTCTGGTGATGGAGATGCGTGTTCGCCTCCAACAAAGGATTCATGCTATGGTAAGGGAAACTAAAGCGCTGCAGATCTGGCATGAACACGGACGGGAATAGTCTTGCTACAGCAGAATAAAAGGATGAGGAATTAACGAACCAGAAAGACAGGCGCACAACACACCGGTATGCACCTGGTTATATAACCGAGTCTAAATCAGAATGTTAAAGCTGAGAGGTCTTAAGATGGATCAGGGTTTTCTCTCACCGCCGCAGCCAAACATCCAAAGCGACTCACAATGCGCTGCGAGGCGAGGACACAAAATGCGGAGCTGCGCGTCGGTGAGCTGTTCTGCAAAAATAAACTTGATTAAAACGAAGGAAAATGACGCAGAGCGTGCATGGAAACACAGAAACACCGTGTCACCGCGTCAGGGAAGATCTGGCAACAAGATGTGACCGCAGGCAGGAGCGAGGCTGCAGGATTGAAGAGCCCGGTACCGTAAAGACGCAAGCAGAGGGGCACTGCTGTTTGGTTCATGTTGAAAACAGCACCAAACAAAACAACAATATATTTGTTTGCACAAGAAAGAGTTCAGATTTCGATACACATAAAATAATAATGATAAAATCCTCAATTAAGGTTTTTAAAACGGGATTATCACCTGCTTTGTCAGACCTGCCACATGTCCCACTTTCACTGTCCCAATCTGGTTTAGCGTAATTTCATTAACAGGAAATTAATCAGACATTTAAGTACAGCGAACATGATAATGGGTTTAGGATGCATCCTTTTGATCTTTTAGCCATCTGTGTCGTATCCCTGGGACTGGGTGCAGAGGTATAGGAGAAGTACTTAGATATTGTACTTGAGTGAAAGTATAAATACCAGAGTGTAGGAATACTCTGTTACAAGTAGAAGTCCTGCATTCAAAATGTTACTCAAGTAAAAGTACAAAAGTATTAGAATCAAAATATACTTAAAGTACCAAAAGTAAAAGTAGTCATTGTGCAAATTGGTCCATTTCGGAATAATATATATGATATGTTTTATAATTATTGATGCACAATTAAAGGTGCAGCTAGTTTGAATGACTTTCTGTAAAGTATCTAAAGGTGTTGAATAAATATAGAGGCGTAAAAGTACACGATGAACCTCTGAATTGAAGTGGAGTAGAAGTACAAAGCAGCATGAAATGGAAATAATCAAGTAAATTACAAGTACCTCAGAATTGTACTTAGGTACAGTACTTGAGTAAATGTTCTTAGTTACTTCCCACATCTGACAGGCGTAGTTTGTAGTTGACATTTCTTATTCTGTCGCAGCGGTAGATGATACAATTGAAACTAAGCACCAGTTAGCTTAGCTAGTTGCACCGATCGACTTAATAACATTTTAATAAGCAGATGAATCGATTCTTTAAAATAAATGATTCATTTCAGTACAATAGCATTGGCCTAATTCGACCCCCTCCTGGAGTTGCTGTTAGAGGGCATCATCAACGACATGTTGCATCTGCAGAAAACTAGTTTGAGCTGCATTTCCGGGAAGATTTTCCAGGATATTTCTTAGATATATGTGGTTTCCCAAACATGAAGATACATCCAGCAGTTAGTTTAGCTAGTTTAAAGGAACAGTTCATGTTTATACAACTGACAAGACAACAAGGTAAGAAAATCCTTTATTAATGTTGTTTCAGAACGAGAAATAAGGCTCTGTACACTCATGGTAAACACACGTTATTTTCATTGTCTTGCCGTATCTGCCTGTCTCTCTGTCTCTCTGTCTGTCTGTCTGTCTCTGTCTGTCTGTCTCTTTCTCTCTCTCTCTCTCTCTCTCTCTCTCTCTCTCTCTCTGTCTCTCTCTCTCTATCTATCACACAGTGCTGGATGTGGAGCATCTCAGGTCTCTCCTCATCGTCCTCCCATCGATGCAGCAGTGTCCACGTGGCCTTCAGTGTCCAAGGCGTTAAAGTTCAGTGTGTGTGTGTCCCACTCAGATAGTATGTGCCCAGGAGTTGAATCTCCCCTTACTCTTACTCTTCCTTGTCTTTTGTTTGCTCAGATTTCTGCTTTGTCTCTCTAGATTCGTGGACATCTTCCTCTTCTCCGCCTTCACCTGGCCGAACATCATGGCGTACATGTCATACCTGAACTCCCGGTTCATGATGTGGTAGATCAGAGGGTTGAGCATGGTGTGGGACTTTGCAAGCATGGCGGGGATTAAGCTGACTAAAGGAGAGAAGGCGGACCTGGGGCTGCTGGGTTCACTCGGGGAGGCGATGGAGGCTGAATTCATCTCCATGCCGCTCCACCTGCTCTCAGGGTTGTAGCAAATGTGTCTGTAATATTCTGTAGCTGTCCAGTTGAGCAGCGAGGGGATGTCCAGGGTCTTTGGGGGATTCGCAGAGCTCGACTCCTCCACCACAGAGTGTAGAGACGCCTCCTGGTCCTCACTGGGAATGAGTGCAGAGATCAGAGAAATGGTGGCGTACGGTATCCAGGATATGAGGAAGGAGGCACACACCACCGCCGCCATCTGAAAAACACACACAGATTCATTTGAGAACATGTTATAATATCCAGCAATAATAAAAGGTACATTTAAAACTGTTTTGTATTTGTTTAAGTGTGTAATTTTGTTGATGTGCCTGAGTGCGTAGATAGGTAGGTAGTAGATACTTTATTTATCCCAAGTTAAGGAATTGTTTTGTCAGAGCAGCATTTTCCCAGTGAATGTACAATAATTAAAAAATTGAAAAAATACAAATAAACCTTAAAATGTAAAAACAATATATTCTCAGTAGAAAATATATTCAGAAGAGGATATACTGCACACTATAACAATATATAGAATACATAAGAATACTCTCTAATATACCAGTCTGCTAACAGAAATATTCAAGCATAGTGCACAGTAGCTTTAAATTAAAAGTTAAAGGAAAATATATATTGAAAAATATTTAGTGGTTTACCTTTGCAAGTCTAAGGTCTTTGCCACTGTGAGAGACGGAGGCGGACGGTATAGATGCCAGAGTGCGATTGGATCTGTAAACCTGGAAACACGCAGTTACTCAAATGTATTTTTAAAAACCTTGAGATTTCAATTTCAACAGGATACCAACACACATCACAAACAACTGTGACAGAGCGAATTACAACTATAAAGACAAACATACATACAGCAACATACAAAAAAAAACATTTGAATTTGACAATTTGAATGGACTTCTTGCAAAGACCCATCCACTTTGCCCTTTTAGACTTTAGGGTATATACTTGTCGTGTATTGTGTGTGAACTACTGTATGTTGTGCTGTGTATGGTGAGAGTTGTTTCGTATGCCCAATTTCCATTTTATGTATGAGTAATCTGAAACAGTAATTTGGCTGCCCCCCCCCCCCCCCTGCAGTTACTTACAGAAACCCCTAGGGGTCACACACTCCCTATTAGAGCCCCAGGGGTCCTATGAAAAAACAACTTTAATGATGAACACTAAGAGGCTCTATGAAGCTCATATTCCCTCTGGAGACCTGCGTTGTAACAGCTCTTTACAAGTGAAGCAAAAAGCAAAAATAAAGCTGTTATCTGAATTTGTTTCCCCACAAAAAATGGGTAGTTAACCCCTGGATAAACTTGAATAATAGTTATACAATCGTAAAGAATGTAGCAATGGGGTTTCAAAACCGTGAAACAAAAGCAGTATTATTTGCTCTAAAAATGCTGGCGGGGATAGCACAAATAAAAATGACAGCTCATTAATCGTAAAGCTTTTTAAGGCCCCGGGCGTCTCAGTCAATTGACTTTTTATGTTTGGTTTATTTGGGAATCCCGTGTTGTGTCCCAGACGATGTTGGGGTCATATACTGTATTTATATCTCCGTCTTGAAACTAACACAAGGTGGGGCCAGAGTTCCTATGTTCACATTCTTCACACACAGTGTTGCAGGAATGAGTCCTAAAACCCAGAAATTAGTTATCATTTTACCAAGGTCTGTGATTAACAAAAGCTTAAAAAATGATTTGGTTTCACAGTCTGTGCATGCGTGTTGGTAGCATCAGCCTGAGTGAAAAGCTCCAACAAAAATATTATATCCTCAATTAAAGCAGACATATCATGCTATATTTGAAACATACATACCTATACAAAAAAATGTCTGTGAAGTTTTTTGCTTAAAATACCAAACAGATCACCTATTGTAGCCTCATACTGCTCAAACCCCTCTTCTGCATCCCTGTTAGAGAAACGGGGATTTTGGGTCCTTAGCTTGAAAAAAAGAAAAGAAGAGGAGGCGGAGCTAATGCCTGATCAGAATTCTACCGGAGATAAAGTTAAATTCGGTTTGTGATAAAACGCCATCCTGTTCTAAACCACGTCAAGGATTATTTCTGAAACATTATGGAGCTCAAATGCTTTTTCTCTTGCAGGTTTATCACAAGGTGAGTTCCTTTTTTTATTTCCTGCTTTTTAAACACATGTGTTCTCCAGTACAGGTTAGCTCTGAGTGTTAGCGAGGCTTGCTAATGTAAACAAAGACGAGATTACGTCCAAAACACGTCAGGCATTGTTTCTGATAGCAATTTTCTGTGGGTCCGCCGCCGCTATTACGTCACAGCGGATGGAATCTGTATCCGCTCGTTGTACCTCCGTTTTTAAAAGATTCGGGTACGGAGGAAAAGAGAGAGGGATTTATTTTCTGACGCTGCGTGAGTTCCCCGACGCACCGGGGACACATATTTATAAAATAAATCACAAAGTGCATTTTGCATGAT